CAGCAACACTGTTGAGGACTTTGCCCAGCAGTTCTCGGCAGTCCAGAAGCATATGTAGGCAATTAAGCACATATTTCCTCGGTAGGACACTCCGGTTGCCAAACTGCTGAGGTCTGGGTTTTCATCTGCCCGTCGCAGAGGGCACCCACTGCGGGGTCAACATCTGCTCCGCCCCAACTGGAATCCAAGGAGGAGACTCCTCAACAGGGGCGTCGAGATTTCAGTGGCGTCGAGCCAGAAGACCACGAAGGGTCCCTGAGATGGGCAACCCAGAGATGGAAGGGGTTGCTCTTTTGGGGTCACTAACATCTGGGCCTAGCACTCCCCCAACCGTCTCGCTGGCTCATTCGGACGATTCAACTCGGCTGTGCGATTCAGTTCGCCAGGCACCCTCCCAGGTTCAGGGGCATCCTCTTTACGTTTGTGACCGACAGGGATGCCCCTGTCCTGCATGCAGAGATTGCAGTCCTCCTGGCGAAGGATGCAATAGAGCCTGTCAGTCTATCTGAGATGAAATTGGGATTTTACATTCCTTATTTCATCGTACCCAAGAAGAGCAGTGGGTTACGACCTATCCTGGATCTGCAGGACTTGAATCGGTCCCTTCACTGGCTTCTGTTCAAGATGTTGACGCAGAAGCACATTCTTTCATGCATTATTCACCAGGATTGGTTTGCAGAGATCGACCTGAAGGACTTTCACGTCTCAATTCTACCTTGACACAGACCATTTCTTAGATTTGCTTTTGAGCGTCAGGTCGAATCAGTACAAGGTCCTCCCCTTCAGGCTGTCCCCGTCTTCCCGCATTTTTACAGAAGTTGCGGAGGGTGCCCTGTCCCTACTTCGGGAGAAGGGCATCCGAGTCCTCAACTATCTCTGTTTTGCGAGCACAGGGATATGGTGCTTCAGCATCCCAGCCAGCTGGGGCTTTGGGTCAACTGGGAAAACAGCAAGCTCTCCCCTTTGCAGAGCATTTTTTTTCTCTGTATGGAGCTGGACTCTGTCAACATGACAGCACGTCTCACAAACGAGCGTGCTCAGTCGGTGCTGAACTGCCTGAATTCGTTCAGGGGGAAAACGGCGGTTCCGCTAAAACAATTTCAGAGGATCCTGATGCATATGGCGTCCACAGCCTCAGTTACGGCGCTCGGGTTGTTATAAATGTGACCGTTTCAGCACTGGCAGCACAGTCGAGTACTGAGATGAGCATGGCGCCGTGACACTCACCAGGTTGGCGTTATCCAGTTTGTCACTGCTTTTTCAGCCCATGGTCAGACCTTGCTTTTCTACAGGCAGGCATGGGGTGCTGTATGTAACAGGCACACAGTTTTGGGCTCCTGGACGGGACCTCGACTGCAGTGGCACATCAATTGCTTCGAGTTGCTGGCAGTACTGCTTGCAATTCTCCTGTTTCGTCCGTTGCTGCAAGACAAGCATGTGCTCATCCACACGAACAACACTGCAACGTTTCCGTACATCAACCATCAGGGTGGGGTACGGGCGGGGTACCCTCCCATTGTTCCACTGCCAGCTGTTCTACTCCCTCACCTCGGCACACCTCGGCACAGATGCTCTGGCGTACAGCTGGCCCTGGGGTTTACACAAGTACGCCTTCTCCCCAGTGAGCCTCCTTGCACAGACCCAGTGCAAGATCAGGGAGGACGAGGAGCAGGTCCTGTTGGTTGCGCCGTATTGGCCCACCAGGACCTGGTTTTCCGATCTCACGCTCCTCGCGACAGCCCCTCTCTGGAGAATCCCCCTGTGAAGGGACCTTCTTTCTCAGGGGCAGTGCACTATTTGGCACCCATGTCCCTATCAGTGGAACCTGCATGTTTGGCTTTTGGACGGAATGTGGCAGACCTCTCTGGCCCCTCACAGGCTGTGACGGATACTATCACTCAGGCTAGGGCCCCCTCTACCAGGCAGGCCTATGATCTGAAGTGAGATCTGTTCATTGACTGGTGTTCCTCTCGCCGAGAGGACCCCCAGAGATGTCTGGTCAGCATTGTGCTTTCCTTCCAGCAAGAAAAGTTGAAGCAGAGGCTGTCCCCCTCCACTTTGAAAGTATATGTCTCTGCCATTGCGGCGCGTCACAATGCAGTGGATAGAAGATCCTTGGGGAAGCACGACCTGACCACCAGGTTCCTGAGAGACGCGAGGAGATTAAATCCTCCCAGATCGCGCCTTGTTCCCTCTTGGGATCTCTCTGTGATACCTCAGGCTTTTATGGCTCATATAGTATGATGTAGTGAGAATATAGAGTTCATACTCAGAAAAAAGCACTTCAGTTTTATTCAGTGGCCCAAACTGAGCAAAATATGCAGTTTGGTGCAGTTGCTTTTATTATATGGCCATAAAAATAAGAGGAAATTCTGATAGCTTATAATGTAAATGTAAATCAAATGAGATCTTTTGAATACTATAACAGACTATTTGCATAAAATCATATAAATATCAGTTGTCACTCTATATCTATGAGATAATATTTAAATGCTTCGTTTTACGATCAAAGCACTGTAGTTTTTATTGTGGTGGAAAAACATATAGTGCAATGCATTACAATTATGATAAATCAAAGATGAATAAATAAATGTTGCTCAGAAGCCTGATAGATCATATTTGATACTTTCATCTTAACATGATTTTTCAAAAAAAAAAAAAAAAAAAAATTTGATAAGTTGCTTCAGTTCAGTAAGTGTTCATCTTGAAATAATAAAATTATGAAAGTTACTCTTTTATTTAAAAAAAAAAATCATTTCAGAGTAAAAAGACATGGAATCCACAACCTGAAGTTGGATGTTTTTAAAATTATACTAAAAGGCCTTTTGCTAGCTAAAAAACAAATAAACTATTGATCAGTTGACAGAAGGCATGTAGTAGATTGTGTACAACTGGTTTTGGTCATTATTATGTAGAGGCCTTGCTTGAAATGTGTGTGTCAGATATGATGCAGTAGGCTTTATACTGTAGGGATTAATATGAGCAATAGTTATGGTGTACCTTGTATTTTCGCTTTCTTTTTCAAAATTCACATGAGTGGTTTCTGTAACCAGATTGAATAACTTGTTTGATTGAAGCAGGATGGTGTGGAGAAGCATCTCTTGAGGGAAGCATTTAAAGGTTTGAAACTCATCCCAGATGAGATTCTCTGGAGGAGGAAGGAGGCCTTCAGTGACGGTATGACATCCATGAAGAAATCTTGGTACACCAGCCTGCAGGAGCACATCGAGTCTGAGGTGCTACACTTGCACATGACACAGTGATTTTAAAGCCTCTTCCCTGTCATCTTGTCCTTTTAATTTTTCTTTTCTCATTCAGGTGAATGACTCTCAGTTGGAGAAGGCCAATACGCAGTTCTCTTTCAATCCACCCACAACCAAAGAGGGCTTCTTCATAAGGCAGATCTTTGAGAAGCATTACCCTGACCGCTGTGAGTGGACACCATATTACTGGATGCCCCGCTGGATCAAGGCCACTGACCCCTCGGCCAGAACCCTGTCCATTTACAAGCCAGATGAAGACCAGTTATCACATTAACCAGACCACATCAAGCTTCAGACCTTGCCTAGACCATACATTTAGTTCAAACATTACCATAATATATTTTTGCCTCACCTTTCTCTGTTCAGTTTACTAAAGTTTTTTTTTTTAGGTTGGTTTGTTTAGTCTTCCCTAAAGAGAATTGAGTATCTTCAGCTCATGCAATATATTTCAAAAGATATAAATGGAGGCCTCCATTATACTCATATATTCTTCTTTTTTCTTCTTCTTCTTTTTATGGAGCTTAGATGTATAACTAAACAAGCCAAAACAAGTCAATTTGTGTAGTTTGTAGGTTAAAGGAATACCTTAAAAAATGGCACAGTAACCATTGTTTTTTCTAAAATAGTTTTGTTACTTTAATAAAACTATGATAACTTAATATTAATTAAACAAAAGAAATTCAAGTCAAAGGTACAGAAAGCTTCTTAACACATATTAATTTCTCATTTTACATTAATAAGTAATTTGTTGTAATTTTAAGTAACACTACCATTCAAAGGTTGGGTTTTTTTAAATGTTTTTGAAAAAAGTCTCTTGTTCACCAAGGCTGCATTTATTTGATCAAAAATACAGTAAAAACAGTAATATTGTGAAATATTATTACAATTTAAACTGCTTATTTTAATATATTTTAAAATGTAAAATGTTCCTGTGATGTAAAGCTGAAGCATCATTACTCCAGTCTTCAGTGTCACATGATCCTTCAGAAATCATTCAAATATGCCGATTCAGTAATGAATTTAAGTTTCTATGTTTTTGTAATATTCTGGACTGGAAACTGAAATGTTGTAGGGTCAAACTTTGCTGTCCATGAACTACTATCACTGTGTTCTTGAGCTATGCACTTTCCCAGGTTCCTTCAGTGGGATTTCCACTTTAATGACTGTATTTTTGTGTCTATAGTCAGCTAATTGACGTTAGCAATTGGTTGGGTAGTTGAAATGCTTTTAAGAAGTTATATTTATATCCAAAATGAGTTTCAGAGAATCAGCCTCAAAGTTGAATGAATGGCACTGGTTAAAGTACGGTTAAATGGTGGGTTAGCGTTAAAACTAAAATTGAGGGTTACAAAATGAATTTATTTGATTATTTTTTACACTTTATATTTGTATTTTCTTTGGTGCACCATCACTTTAAAGTGGCTAAAATAATGAAATATGAATTACAGTAAAGATAGTATGTAGCTTGAATGGTTAAAGAAACTAACTTCCTATACTTAACGGTTTAAGATGTTTTCAGTTCATTTGGGTTTAATGTGCAACAAATGCTGAAGCTATTGCATTAGAAGATCTGGTCATGGTATTGATAAAGCCTTTCATCAAAACCGCAGTCGTGATGTGTGTTTTATTCATTAATTTCGATAAGCCTGCTTCGAAAGGATACTTGTTGCTGGTTGAAATACTCCTAATGGCCTGTAGGTAGAGTGAGTGCGTCACTGTGAGAGCGCCATACACCACTCATTCAACGATACAACAAGGAATTAAAAGTTCCACCAATAAAGAAAATATTTTTAATATCAAGCTACAATCACACAGAGATATCAAGATAGCAAAACCTTTGCTCGTAGCAGTGACAGGGCATCACACCTGGACTGGCGCTATTATACAACATCTTCAGTCATGGTGAAAACACTATGAGGCACTATGTATTGACACTGTCAGCACAAATCTCTGAGTACTTTAGAAAGGACACCAATTTGCTTTAATGCTCCACAACACCAGGAGAGATGTTGTGACAGAAACACGTTTGATCGGCGTATTAAAACGTCTGATCCTTTCTAAATGACGTAAATAAACCGACACAGGTGTGACTCGGCCATATTACCACAATGTAAAATAAGATTTTTTTTTTATTTCTGACCTGAATAAAAAATAAAAATAAATGAATATCACAGAATGAAATTATCCTTTAGGAAGCGGATGTGACGATGATCCATTTGATCTTTTAACGCCTTTTGTCGTAGATCTGTACTGTTCCCCATTCATACGATTCTGTGAAGAAAGAAGGTCAGTATTACAAACAGATCATAACTTAATGTTTTAAATCACTACTACTTTTTTATCATTATTATTATATTAATTAATCCACTAAACCTAAAAGAGAGCTTTTGGAGTTCCTACCTGGCTCCTCTTGGCTTCTTTTACCCATCAGTCCCACAAAAGAATTGATTTTATGCCCTAGAAGACAATAAAGGGAAAAATATTATGTTAAAATGTTATGTATATATATATAGAGAGAGAGAGAGAGAGAGAGAGAGATAGATAGATAGATAGATAGAGGCCATACTGTTGAAGTCTAGAGTGCGGTTGAATTGATTTTGTCTTTACAATTGTTTTTATTTTACTGTGAAAATTTTGACCTTGAGAATGTGAGTTTTTGCAGTAAGAAGAATCGTGTGCCTCTATAACTCTAAGATTATATATTTAATAAGCTGTGAATGTGTGACTCAGCCTGTGAAAAACCTGCAAAGATAAAGTTGTAAAAAAAAAAAAATTGTTTTTCTTTGTGAGGAAAAAAAAACCCTGAACATGTCTATGTAATTGTATATGTAAATCTCTCTTGAAGAGTATCATTGCTTTTATGCAAATATAAGTGTTTAGCAAATAATATATGCATTGTATGCAGTAGTGTTCTTGTGGAGATCACTTACTTTTTCGTGCAATCTGTGCATTTGCTGTGGGGGTGAAAGAATGAAAGAGATGCAAGTTATAGGTCAAAAGCATCTTTATATTCTGCTGCGTTCTAGGTAAAACTTCTCAAAATCTGATCTGAATATTTATAACATGCATAAGTTGCAAATTAGGTGAGCTATAGGAGTGTGGTCTTACCAGAGGACCGTTTGCCCATGAGACCAATGAACTGATGAGGTCGGGGTTTCCTCGTCATGCGTCTTAGTATCTCTCTGAAGGGATCCGCCTGAAGCCACTCATCCTACAAAAGATTATTTGATTATTGAATGTCAGACCCCCAGCAGACAGATGCCACTCACTGTAGAAGATCACTGGCATACTTTTTGATACAAACAGTATTTTATAACTCTCCAATTCATCCCAATACAGAATTCACAAAATTTCATGATTTTTCAACACAGTTTTTGAGCACAGAAATACTCTACAATGTACAGTATTGGCAAAGACGCGGTTTATGGACACAAAGAGCATGAAAGACAAAGTGCTTGGCTGTCTTCCAATCCGCAATGTCAAATGGGAAACGTGCGCTCCATTCAAACAAGCAGTAAGAGCATTGAGTAATTCAGCACTGGACAGCGACCTGTGCATATTGTGCTGGAGTCCTGTCTAATTACCCAGTGAATCTAATTAAAGCATCATCCATGTTGCGCATATTACATGATACTATAATTAGTACTGTTACTGCTATATGGTATTCACATATTTTATTTATTTATTTATTATTTATTTTATTTTTTTTAATGGTCGATTACTAAATTATTGCATTTGGTCGTCCTCAATACTAAACAGGTGGTTATATCCTACCAACTCGATAATAACGATGTACAATTATATGCACAATCACATAATAACTATATAATGTTGATCATAAGTATTACACAGTAATTAATTAGTAATTACAATGTAATTTGCACACTGTTTTGTCATTTGTTACTTTTCTATTATAAACTCTATGAAGCTGAGATATAATAATAAAAAGTAGCATAATTAAATATAATTAACTTTATATGAAATAGCCTATAACTAACATTATCACAATGCTATTATGTTAGTTATATATATACACGATTATGAATATATACTAAATATAGTCAATGTAATGAGACTACTTGATAAAAAAAAAATATATGCACTTTTTTGTCATTTGTTACTTTTCTATTATAAACTCTATGCAGCTGAGATATAATAATAAAAAGTAGCATAATTAAATATAATTAACTTTATATGAAATAGCCTATAACTAACATTATCACAATGCTATTATGTTAGTTATATATATACACGATTATGAATATATACTAAATATAGTCAATGTAATGAGACTACTTGATAAAAAAAAAATATATGCACTTTTTTGTCATTTGTTACTTTTCTATTATAAACTCTATGCAGCTGAGATATAATAATAAAAAGTAGCATAATTAAATATAATTAACTTTATATGAAATAGCCTATAACTAACATTATCACAATGCTATTATGTTAGTTATATATATACACGATTATGAATATATACTAAATATAGTCAATGTAATGAGACTACTTGATAAAAATATGCATTTTTAAATTGTATTTTATTTTGGCATATGCATAACGAAAGGTCCTGAAAAACAGCCCTAAAACTAGAAACATTACTCAAAACTAACTAAAATGTGTTCAAATAGATTTGGTCTGAAAGGCATGTTTAGATAATAGTAAAAGAAGAAATTCTCACCTGTATCTGATTGCTGCCTGTCCAATAATCAAGGTCTTCTTTTGGACCCAATTCTTCTCCAAAAACTTGGCACAAAACAAAAAAAACCACTAGAGAAGGTAAAAGAAATTTCATGTTGCACCCAGTAACTTTCCTTTTCTTTTCCCAAAGCACTTTAAAGTATAAAACGCAAGCTAAACGTTCGAGTATGTTGTACGGTGTTCTGTCAGCTGTGCGTGGACAGTTTCCTCCACATATAATACAGTTCTTCACTGCGTCTTCCGTGACAGGACTGACTCGCGCTCGCGGCTTTATAGCAAAGCAACAGGGAGGCGACAGGTTCCTTCCGACGCTTAAAATCGATCAAACAAATACATGTATTAGTCAGATTGCTTTAAAAGGCACAATGACGAATAGCACTCCTCTTTAATATTTTGCTCACATTGCCAGAGGAAGTAAAGTTGAAATGGTCGTTAATTGGGCAGTCCGTGACTTCATGGGCGTGCGCTGATCAGCATGTAGACTAGACTGCAGACAGGTGACGTTATGATTGGCTAATTCGACGCAGGTTTTACGAAGTTCCATCTACAAGCGAGCAAACATGAATGCAGATGAGTCGTTTGCGTCAAAGTGAGGTGAGCAACTCCAGAAAGGTCTCGGAAATATACATATGAGAGGAATTTAACAAGAGCCATGGGAGGTCCAGTATATTTTGGGATGTCCACATCAATGTCACTTGTTTTAAAGCATTACGTTGTAGAAAAAAAATGAAGCTTTCTTCTTAAAAGTAGGCTACCCACTTTTTTGTCTGTCCTGGACTCTTTTGAAATTAAAAAATGCTCTTGATATTACATTCTGAGTTCCTCAGATGATCTAAACCCACCCAAAAATGAACTTTAACCCTCTGGGGTCCGAGGGTGTTTTGACATGCCCTGACATTTGTGCTTTTTTAGTTGCTTACAAACATTTGAATGTCTAAAGTTTAATAACACTGTAATCAGCACAAACTGTGCTACAATAATATGTGAGCAGCATGTATGTACGTGATTGTGTTGTTGAGAAAACAAGGTTTATGCGTGCTTAGTGAAAAACTACAATTTTAAAGTCACTGAAAAAAACGTTCTCCTTTGGCATGAGGCTATAAAACCCCTTTTGGTTTCAATCAGGACCTTTATTTTTAAGAGTAGGCTTGTGTTTCGCACATATCCCACAAAGCTTGTGTGCCATTTTTAAACCATTGAGTCTCTAATGGAGGCAGTGTAGTCCGGGTTAAATTCGTGTTTTTGATGAAAAGCATGGAGAGGACACTCGGAGGTGGATGACCCACGGAGGAAGTGGAGACACGGCTGATTTCCATGAGAAAGGACTCTTGTCTCAGCGCACAGAAAGACTATACAGCCCAAACGGCACTTCATACCTCGAGTGCCTTTATCAGCGACAATGATGCCTCTTTATTTAATCATGTGTTAATATCGTATGCAAATGTTATTTCTTGCTAAGCTTGCCTAACACAACCGAAACGACCCCAGCTGCAGTGTGAGGGCCGTGTACATTTACTGATTAATGTGGTTTTCGCACAGCGTCTTTGATTTTTATTCTTTTGCCATTAAGAAGACATAGCTGACATTTAGTCCTGCAGCTTTTTGTATGACTGGTCAGATATCATTTGTAGCCATGTGTTTGACACTATCTGCTGTTTAAAGATAGTAAATATTGGAAAACAAATCCAGATAAAATACGTAGCACTGTATTGTTTGGTCAGGTAACCTAAATATGTGCCTTAAGGGAATTGTTCACCCAAAAATAAAAATTTGCTGAATATTTACTCACCCTCAGCAGGCCATCCAAGATTTAGATGATTTTGTTTCTTCATGGGAACAGATTTGAAGAAATGTAGCATTAGATCACTTGCTCACCAATGGATGCTCTGCAGTGAATGGGTGCCGTCAGAATGAGAGTCCAAACAGCTGATAAAAACATCACAATAATCCACAAGTAATCCACACCACTCCAGTCCACCAGTTAACGTCTTGATGTGAAAAGCTGCGTGTTTGTAAGAAACAAATCAATCAAGGCGTTTTATCCTTAAACCATCGCTTCTAACCAAAATGCAGGTCCATAATAACATTTCCTCCAGTGAGAAAGTCCATCTCCTGTTGTCCTTTCACATCAAAATCCACCCACATATTTGTTTAGAACTGTTTTCACTTTGTAAAAGGTGCTTGATCTGTGCATATTTCTCTCCTGATTCAGAGGGGATGAGTTTTTCACTGGGAGAAGCAGTATTATAGATAAAGGACTTTTATTTTATCTGGTTTTAAGTTAAAAACATCTTAATGATGGATTTGTTTCTTACAAACACACAGCTTTTCTCCTCACACAATTATTCCTTTAAATTCTAGTCTGACCAACTAACAGTGGTCAGTAATCAGTCTTACGTTTTGGATTCAAATCAGGCCAATTTACATTTTAGTAATACAATGTAATAGAAGTAATAAAACACAAAAAATAAGTCACTGCAGAGGATCCACTGGAGAGCAAGTGATGTAATTTCTCTAAATCTGTTCCCATGAAGAAACAAACTTACCTGAGGGTGAGTAAATATTCAGGAAATATTAATTTTTGGGTGAACTATTGCTTTAAATATGATTTTATTCATCAAAAAATATTTTTAATAATGAACTGGATTACATTAGGTTACACTAACAGAATTTGGTGTCATTTTCTGGGTCGAAACAGATAGAAAAATCTCTATCAGTTACATTCTCAATGTTTTTAGTGTACAGTATAGTATGATGGTTCTCCAGTGTTTACAGAGAAACTGAACTCTTGCTCCCAATCCCAATTTAATATTGAATTTGTTTATTCAGAAATATGAACTCTCACAGATGATGGAAGGTACAAGAGAAGACTGAATTTAGAAGAATTGTGTTGCAAGAAGAGATAGATGGTGAATGGAAGAGAGAAAATTAGATGGATTCATTACTTTTTATTTGATCTCAACACTGACATTTGCCAGAAACTCCATGAATCTGTGCATGAATCCGTCTGATTCTGAGGACATCCCAACCTGATCTCATGGGAAAACATAAAGATGTATGCATAAGATTGTACGAATTATAGGCACCAATTTGCCAAAACATTAAGTAGTTACAAATTGCCATGACATTGGGTTGGAATGCCATTTTTTGTTTCCAAGAACTTGCTTCTTAGTTTTACCCCAAAATGCATTAGAAGTCAGACCTCTATCTGACATCAAAGTTAGAGATGTTGAAAACAGTCCATGAAGAAAATAATAGTACTAATGGTCAGTGTTCACCCTACAAGAGCACAAATATACCTAATTTTTCTTTGAGCAATTGTAGGTTAAATTACTCTGCTTATGTTGTTAAAGCAGAATAAAAGGCACCATTTATTTCTTTTTATAAACACAATCTACTGTAAATAGCGCATGCAGTCTTAGCAATGTAGAGCCATCATAAAAAAACAACCCATTTCAAAGTACAAAACATTTTTTTTCTCATGTTTTTTTCTGGAAACCATGGTACATTTAATTTTTCAGGATTTTTTGATGAATAGAAATTTCAAAAGAACTGCATTTATTTCAAATAGAAGTCTCCTGTAACATTATAAATGTCTTTAAGTAATGATTAATAGATATAACAATTGTATTGCATTTACTGAAGTATATGTACCAGGCACTCAATAATCTATTGATTGTTTATTATTATTCTTATTTTGAAATTATTTAAAAGATGAGGTCCATGGTATAAGCATAGACCAATATTTAATTTGACATTGATTCCATTTGTATTTTACACGTCTATTTTTTGTTATAACATTTACAGACCTCAACACAGAAGGTTTTATTATGTAGTAAACGCTACATCAAATATCGGTGATCATAATGGCAGTAGTAAGGCCTGGTGCTTTAAATCATCTATTTGTCCAAGCGTTATTGCAGGAGCGTGCAGGTTGTCCGTGTGTGGGAGGTCAGTTTGTTTTGTGTTGGAGTGAAGCTCTCGCAATCTGTCATTGATTTAGTCTTGTGTTCTGTTGTCGTACAGTAGGAATAAAGCACTGAATAGAATGAATAGAAGGTGAAGAAATGTTTCACCTTGTAAAATGCGTTTACCACTAAGCTTTACGGTCTGCAGCAGGTCAAGTTTTGCTCATAGTCTTCTATTTTTTGTTCTTTCAAAGCAAACCTCAGAGTTCTCAGTATTAAATATTTTTGAGGTCAGTGGTCAAGACTTTAAGAGATTGCATCAAAATGTGAATTTGCTTTTGGCTAACATGCTTTTTTGTTACTAAGATGAACTTAGAGAACCATCATCATAACTTATTCCTTAGACATACTGTTCCTTCTTCCTGGCCTTATTCCAAGTGTGGCTAAACATTTTCTATACTATTTGAAACTGAAGTCTAATGATATTTCAGTTCCCAAGCACTTGATATATATGTCCTGCTCCTTTCGGCTAAAGAGTCTTTAAATCCAGAAGACTGGAGAGGATCCACAGTAAATAGAGATGACTATCTATAGCCGATACAAAATCTTGTTCCAATTTCTCTCAATATATGAAGTGAGCAATTGAGCTGTAAAGCACTTATAATGTAAATATGCACTTTTTGTTTCCATATATTCCTAGCACAGTTGAACAGTTCAACCCAAGAGGCACACATAGTCATTCCTTTCTTTTATTTCTTGTTTTTTTTTTATGTATGTTCTTTATAATTCCTTCTTCAATTTCTCTTGACTATAGTGGACATATTTGTTCCTATAATTCATATCTGCATATTTTCAACCCCAGTACAAAATTTCCAGATTATTCTGGTTTGGAGTACTAACACGCTAATAATTTCCTTCATGAGTCATTTTTTTTCTTTGCCTATTTTAACCATATTGACGTCAAGCTCATCTAGAGGCTTTTTGTTTTGATTTAATTCATCTTTTGTCTTGCTATAGTTGTCCTGTGCCAAGTAAGGCCATTTTTTTTAACTCAAAATAGCCTTCCACTCCATCTCAATCTGCTTTATTAGTGGTGCTTCCTATGGCAAGTTACTATGGCTGATTTTCAAAACCTCAACAATTTAGTGTAAAAAGTCAGCTTTGCAGCGAAACTTGTTCCACATGTTAAATATGACCTCAGATCATGTGGCTTGTTGAGGAAAGGTGTGCTGTTTCTTTCTAAGCGATCATCCATGCATTTTTTTTGCTTGGCAGATGATAAACTGTGAAAAAATCCCATTTTTCTTTGGTTTCTCTTGACCTCATTCAAGTAATATATTCTCTGTGGTAGACAAACATCCTGTTAATGAAGAACTGCAAGAAATACAAGTGTTTTTCCTGCATAAAATAAGCATTATTGAGCACTTATCAAGCAAAGTCCCAAATGCTTGGCATTGAATGAAAATACAGCAATCAGGCAAATGTGACTCCATCCGGTCTCCCCACCGGAAAAGA